TTTTTAGGCATGATGCCTTTGTCCTTTTAGGCCATTATGGTCCTTTTGTTTAGTAGACTAGTTTGTGTAGTTTAGACCTTTTGGTCCTTGTGATGTTTTAGACCATTATGGTCCTTGTGTTTTGTTAGGCTTTATGCCTTGTGAGCCATAGGTCATTTTCGGGCCTATGGCGTATTTTGTAAAGGCCTTGTGCCTCTTTTGGGGATGAAATAAAGTTTTACAGTTCGGAAAAAAAAAAAAAAATCAAGTTGAAAGTCTTGTTCCGACCACTTTTGGTATCCGGAAAATCCTTGTTGCTATTTTCGACCACTTTTTGCTTTCAATTTGATTTAAGATCACTTTTTGGTGGTCGGAAATTCAATAATTTCAAGTAGTGTTTTATAATAAAAATTTTGATTTTTTTGTTTTTTTGTTTTTTGTTTTTTGTTGTTGTATATACGAATTCTTTAGGTTCCCATAGAGGTTGGGATTTAAACTACAATGACGACCAAACAATTAGTTACTGGCCTAGTTTCATATTTTCAGATGATAAGTTGGGTACAAGTGCCAGCCAATTGAGATTTGGAGGGAAATCTTATAAACCAGAAGGTCAAAGTAGCAACCCTCAAATGGGAAGTGGGAGATTCAAAAATCAACAATATAATAAAACGTGTTATATGCGGCGAGTTAGTTATACTGATTATGAATTCGGTTCAATTGTTCTTAATGATGATATAGTTAATAGCCTATTAGCCGACGTCGTATATTTATTTTTTAATTATAAAAATCCTACGGTGTTGGCTAATAGACTATTAGCCGACATTGTATGTATTTAAAATTAAGAAATAAATATACGACGTCCGCTAATAGGCTATTAGCCGAGGTCGTATGTATATTTTTTTTATATTAAAAATGTTTTATGATTTCTAGCTCAACCTGCTGTATCAATCAGAACCTGTGCAGCTAGCAATTTAACATTCAACATCAACTAATATAAGCTACTAAATATGAAACTAATTAAGCTACTAAAAATAAAATTAATATAAATAACATAATGCAGCAAAACTACTAATTAACATCAAACCAATAAACACAAACTAATTTTAAACATAAAGTATCAATTGAACAACGTTTTATTAACCCATTCATCAATAAGAAACTTAGACCATTTGTTTCTAACGTCATCAATCTCTTATTTGTTGTACGGCAATCTTCTTCCAAAATCTATAAAGTTCAAAAGAAATAAAAACAATAAATAAGCAAATATTTTAAACAACATTTGAATTATGATGTCAATATTATACCCACGTGAGCTCTAGAAGAGTCACGAGATTATTATAGAGTATATTCATTCCATTGACAATTGTACATATTTATTTACTAAATTCCTCTATACATTTTGGAAATTTAATGTATGGACTTAAAGATTGTTATCTTGAGGGGGAGTATCATTTTACATGAATCAATCCCGAAGATTTAGTCTTGACGACTAATGATTTTACTCTTTTCCTTAGCTAAGTTTTTTCCCTACTGGGTTTTCTTATCCTAAGGTTTTTAATGAGGCATCTAATCTAAAACAAGAATGCACATACACCATGCACTCTTTTCCTCAATTAGGTTTTTCCCACGTGGTTTTCCTAATGAGATTTTTAACGAGGCATGAGTATGATATAGTAATGTAAATAGGGGAAAAGTTGCAAAATAATTGCTAAAGTAAACAAACCCCAAAATCCTGAAGATTATGCCGATTGTGCCCTGAAGGCTTATGGTTGTACTCTTTTTTCCCTTAGCTAAGTTTTTCCCACATGGTTTTTCTTAAGTTAAGGATTTTAATGAGGCAATCAGTACAATCTATGTTTTTACAAATATCATGTACTATTTTCTTCAATTAGGTTTTTCTCACGTGGTTTTCCTAGTGAAGTTTTTAACGAGGCATGAATATATATATATATATATATATATATATATATATATATATATATATATATATATATATATATATACTCCTTTTGTCTAGGTTTTTCCCACAAGATTTTCCTAGAAAATTTTTGACGAGCCATGAATGTGAGAAGATAATGTCCAAGGGGGAGTGTTATAAAAATTAATTATTATGGACATTATGAGGATTGATTGTGTAACGGTTAAATATTTATGTTTAGCTTAATTGCTTTCCATTACAAGTGTATACTATATATGTTGTAAGATGAATGAAATAGATAATGAATGAGAAGATCCCTCTACATTTTCTGAATTTTCCTTCTCTCTACTGTTTGATTTTACAACAATTGTACATTTGGTCATATATTAAGTTTGGTTTTTTACCATTTACCACAACTAATTATTTGGACACTTTTTGTCCTTAGAATAACTTTGCTTTTTATCCCCCGTCTCACATGAGTTGCTCTGGATTCATATATTGCGCATGCACTTGCAGAATCATCGTGGTTACACACTACTTACACCCAAACATTACAATTATGTCAAAATCTCTATGAACTAAGTCGTGGTTACACACTACTTACACCCAAACATTACAATTATGTCAAAATCTTTATGAGTTAAGTATTTATTTTCCTATAGAAAATATTTTTTTTATTACAAAGGAAGGAGGATACCCACATATACATCTACGTCTACAGCGAAGCTTGAACCTAAGATATCCCACATAAGAGGTCAACTAGATACCAGTAGACCACAAGCCACTTGATTCTTATAGAAAATATTTATATATACATAAAAGAGTATTCGTACCAAGGATCACGAAAATTGTATCCATTTAAGTTTTGGGTTTATTTTTTGGCCAAATTATACATTTGGACCTCGGTTCAAAATAACATTCAAATTAAATGCTAACAATTAAATATAATTGTTTAAATTGTCCAATCTGACATACCAATCATTATTGTGTGGACCATATTTTGTTTACTGTAAAATAATGTACATTCAGTACAAAATGTACATTGTATTCAGGGGATGTACATCATTGTTGTTCTGAATGTACATTATATTGTATAATGTATATTCAGTACAAAAATAATGTACATTTAATATAAATTAAAATGTATTTTTTGTTATGGTGCACATAACATTGTGTGGACCATAATTTGCCACATACATATATGCAATTCTTATATCATAGACCAAGGGTTCATACTTCATACTTTATAGTGTTGTGCACTGTGAACCTGATGCATATATATGTGTCTTATATTGTGAGTTTTTGTGTCTTGTGTTATGAAATTATGTACTTTAAAAGTTTAAACTTTGTACTTAAAACAAATTAATAATTACGTCCATTATGTTACAAATATTTTTGTCTTATACTGTGAAAATTTGTACCTATAAACACAAATTATGAACTTTAATCATATTTTAAAATAATTAAAAATATATAACATGCGTATGTGCTTTGTGATATGATTTTTTGTGTATTGTATTATAGAATTTTGTACTTTAATAATATAAAATTTGCAACTGTTATGCTATGGAACCGTGTCCACCTTGCATGCATGGTGGACACGGTTCTATGTTCATAATTGTAAAACTATAATTACCTTTAAAAAGTTCACAATTTGTGATGACACTGTATTATATTCATACATTCCTAAAACTTAAAAACACAATTTATATTCTAGAATTTCATACTTCCAAGTTCCAATACTAAAAATACATAATCTGGGACTATGATCCACCTTGCAAGGTGGACCTTGATCCATGGTATTACAACTGAAATGATAAGACCCTTCTTTCAATTTTTAAAATACATCCCATCAATTGTTCAAAATGTTATAAATCTAATTCTTCTCCATAACAGAAAAGCTCCTTTATATATCAAAATTTTTGAGTGTCTTTTTTGGAATTCCATACCCACTTCGTTTCCTAGCATAACCAAACTTTATCAACTTTCATTTCCCTTCTAAGGCAAATATATGGACACATTGAGAGATATGCATGGGAGCCAATGTTTGTGCGATTTAAAGAAAATAAAATTTAATAAAGCTTAGATATGAAAGGAAAATGATAAAGTGACTACGAAATTTTAAAAACACTCTTAAAAAAATTTGAGGTAGAAAATAACTTGTGAGCTCCGTTGAGATGAGGGATCAAATTAAAGTTATAAAATAATTAAAGGATCATATTTTTTTAAAATTAAAAGATATGTCCTAGATTATAGAATTAGCAACAATTGAATGATTTGTAGGGATATTTGGTTCAAGTTATATATATAGGAATGTGACATTCTTAATTATCTTACTCTTTCAAAGGAATACAACATTCTCCCAATAATGAAACATACCTTCTAGATTGTTGAAGGGAATGTGATTCCCTGATAATTCTTAGTTTATTTAATACTCTCAGGCATATTTATTACGAAGTATTATTCTTTCATTTTAATTATAATTATTATAAAATATATATTTTATGCTAGCTTATTATATACATCATATTTAATTATTTTCATAATTATATTTTTTATTACGCGATGTTAACTTATAAAGTAATTAGTTTTTCAAGTTCAAGTTCTTAGTTAACTTATATACATAGAGAGATACACACATTCATAAAGACACACACACATCCCTTCAAAAAAAAAAAAAAGAAAAGAATTAAGGGTCAAATAGGCCATTGAACCGCACACAATAATGCAATTAGGCTATTGAACTAAAAAAAATAACAATTAAGTCCCTAAACTAATCCATTTCAAACAATTTGTTCAATTTGCAAGTTGAATAATTTTTTAAAAAATTATTTTTAAAATATATTTTAAATTGAGTGACCTGTTAGAAAGGGGAAAATCTGTAAATTAGACAAATTGTTTGAAATGGGTTAGTTTAAAGACTTAATTGTTGCTTTTTTTTTTTTAGTTCAATGGCCTAATTGCATTATTCTGTGCAGTTCGATGACATATTTGACCCTTATTCATAAAAATAATAATAATAATAAGACACAAAAAATTAAAATTTGTAACCTTATGAATTTCATATTATTCAGAATTAGATAACAAGGTGATCTCTTATCATTCAATTATCCGGACATATACCTCCATCAAGGCCACCGCCACCTCCAAAAAAGAAAGAGTATTGGTACCAAGAATCTTTGAAATTGTATCCCATACTGGATGCAAAGTAACATCTAGAAATTTGAGTCTTAACTATATCATCACTAAGAACAGTTGAACCGTATTCAGGATCAGTATAACTAACTCGACGCATATAACACGTTTTATCATATTGCTCATTTTTGAACCTCCCACTTCCCATTTCAGGGCTAGTACTTTGACCTTCCAGTTTGTAACATTCCCCTCCAAATCTCAATTGGCTGGCGCTTTTACCCATCTTTGAAAATAAAGAACTGGCCCATGAACCAAGTGCTTGGTCATTGAATTTTAATTCCCAACCATCGAAAGAACCCTAAAGAATTTGTATATACAAAAAAAAATTATTATAAAAATATAAATTTAGGCTAATGTTTATTAGGATTTACATTTACACGATAGTATCAACAAAACAAAAAATAGTATATCACATTCGGTAATTTGTGTATATAATAAAAACAATTTGACTAAAAATTTATTAGTTAATTTATTATCCATTAACTATATTTTTGCATGTTTTAACCCCATATAAATTCTCGTAACTAAAAATAATATGGTAATTAAAATGACATAACAATTCAACATTTTAGCATTTGCAACAAATCCAATGAATGCAAATCGTACCTTTACAACTTCGAAAGTCACATCGAATTGTTCTCCTTCAAATTCAGACATGTTGGGAAAAGGATAATCAAGTGGTACAACATTTGAAGTCATCAAAAATCCCGGACAATGACTAAGATAGCATCCAATTTTTCCATAGTTGTCCTTCTATAAATTTGAAACATTATTGATTTACATTATATTAGTTAATTATTAAAAAAAAAGTCTTTTTGATAATTGTAGAACAAGCAATTAAAGAAAAATACTAACTGTCCATCCGCTAAATAATCGAGTGCGCGAATCACCATATAATGCAGGGTTTACCTAATAGAAACATATTATAATTATATTATAATTGGATAAAAATGTTAATTATTGCATATTGAATTCAAAAGCATCCATAAAAGAGTAACTTACTATCCATCCAACTCGTATTTGATTATCTCCATCCTCCACATACAAAGCAGATGAACTATATTGGTGATCTCCTTTTAGTTTGGGATTCCATATAGTCATTGTAGCTTTACCACCCGTAAATCTTCGAGCATTGTTCCCAACTATAATCCCTGCAAACTGAATTATAATAAATTTATTGTCAAAATCAATATTAATACGCCATATACTTAATTAGTAAAACTTTAAATTGTCTTACATCAAGATGACTTTTGGCAGCATATGAATGATTGTACAACTTCTGGGAGGTGTACTTAGCTCTGTGTAGATTTTGAATTTTTTGCAATTGTTGTTTGGACATTTGACGAATAGGAACACTCCCGATAGGACATCCTTTCTTATTCAGCCATAATTCTTTGGGATTGAAAATATAATTTTTTTCAGAATTATTATAATATTTAGCTGTTGAACTTTGTTCCTCAAACACAAGTCTAGCCTTTTGCTTCTCTAATTCCTTAGAGATTATCATCTGTGTGTATAAAACACTTTAGTAATTCCATCTTGTCAAAAAATAAAAATAAAAACTTTATATAATGTAGGAGATTGAAACACCCTACCTGAGTTCTTTTCGTTGCCATTATTGGATGGTCTATACCTGGTTGTTTATATATATCTACGCAATCATAAATATCACCATAGATAGTCTGCCATACACACAAATATATATAAGAAAACACGTGTATCATCTTCTTACAAATTTAATTATTATGTATTAAAGAAAGCGTATAGAAAAAATATAATATACAATTAATATTTAAATTCAAAAAAATATATCTTGAATATGTTTAAAATACCTTTAGACTCGTGATAATTGAACTGATGTTGTATCTGTTTGATGTTTCCATGCTATCGGCCTTACTACCTATTTTTCCATAGCAATGACTGATAACAATGGTAAAAAGAACTAAAAGAATTATATTCACTCTCACAGCCATGAAGTTAAGTCTTGCCAATGATTTCCATAGCCTAGTAGTGATTATATATATTTACACGTTAGAATTGGTTAGCACAAAATAAATGGGAAAAAATACCAAAAAGGGGAAAAATATATTTCATAATAAATGTATACCATATTTGTATAATTTAATTGATATTGATGTAAATCAATCAATATATATAAATGGATAATCATAAATCTTGATAGAAACGGATATCACTATACATGGATTTGGATATATATGAAAATTAAATTTAATATACTTCAAATATTATTAGGATTAATATTTGATGTACCTATGTTGTATAGATGTTATACATCGGCGGTGAAGGAGAAGATGTCACATCATTAAAAAACAATGTCAATATTAACGGGATTTTTTTTTTACAAAATATCTCAGATTTGTATTTTATTAGGTAACTCTTTTATTTCTAATTAACAAAATATATCTACTTTTCTAAGGGTCCGTTTGGAAACCCGTAAAATGACTTCTGAAAATAAGTTATTTTTTAGAAAACATTTTCCTTTCCGATGTTTGGCTACCCAATGAAAAACTGTCTTTGTGTGTTTGGTTCATTTTCCATAAAATGAGCACGAAAATAAAAAGAATTGAATATTTTAATTATTTTTTTTTGGAACAAAAGCGATAATATATATTAATAATAGTCAAGCTCAATAAGATGAGCAATACAAGGAAAAGGAACCGAAACACAATCGACACAGTCAGACTTGAACACGGCTTCCCGAGCTAACTCGTGGGCAACCTTGTTCGCAGACCGCTTAGCAAAATGAAAGCTGAGATTAGAAAATTCTCTAGATATCTCCCTAACGTCATTAACTATCAAATCAAAAGCAGAACATAGATTAGTATTGTTGATTTCTTGAATCACTTTGATGCAATCTGAACGTGGTCCAGCTGTTGGGTCTTTAACCATTTTAAAGCCTCTCTAATTGCAATAGCTTCTGCCTCCATAGGTAAACACAGACCATCCCCGGGAATAGCCTTTGCTGCCACAAACAAACCATAAACATCACGTATGACCAGACCCATGCCCATCTTCCTGCTGCTAGTATCCAGAGCTGCATTCGTATTGAGTTTGAGCCATCCCCCTGGGGGCTTTTTCCAGCTTTCAATTTGGTCTGACCTTTGTGTTTGTGAGAGAATACGTTGATTGACAAATTGCCATTTCGAGAGGAAAGATAAAGCACCTGTTACAACATCATGGCAAGATAAGACAATGCTATTCCAAACTTTCTCATTTCTTGCTTCCCAAATTTTCCAGCATATAGCAATCCATTTACATATCTCAAGATCAGTGAGGTTGTTAAAATGCATATCACTCCATTCCATAAAAGAAACACAGTGATGATGAAGACTTTTTCCAAATAAATCCCAACATCCTTTTGCCAAAGGGCATGTGACAAAAACATGAAAGCTTGATTCATCTTCCAAATTACATAGCTGACAGTAGTTAGGGACATCCACATGTCTAGCCCTTAGTTGATCACAAGTAGGCAGGGAACCAGTACATACGTGCCAAAAGAAAGTCTTAATTTTTGGGGGAAGCCACAATTTCCAACATTTGGTCCAAGAGGGGTTTTGTTGATTTTGCACAGAATCTGTGAGCCTCCTATAACAACTTTTGACAGTGTATTCTCTCTTTTCATCACCCATCCACACCATCTTATCCTCAGGCTTAAACACAGCAATGGGAATGCTTCTAATCAGCTCAACATCTGCAGGTATAAAATTTTCTTCAATCAGACTCACATTCCAGTCAGATTTATCCTCAATCAGTAAATCAGAAACTTTGACAAGATGATTATTCACAGGAATAGGGGTTTGAATAAAGGGGGAATTTGAGTCTGGCAGCCAAGGGTCACCCCAAATATAAACAGAAGATCCATCCCCAATCCTCCATCTATAATTATCCCTTATAACATCTTGTACTTCAAAAATGCTTCTCCAGATAAAGGAGGGACTTCCACCAATTTGAGCTTCTAGAAAGGAAGATCTAGGAAAATACTTTGCTTTGTAAACTTTAGCCATTAGGGAGTTAGGATGCTGGATAATTCTCCAAGCTTGCTTACCAAGAAGAGCTAGATTGAACTCACGTATTTGTCGAAAACCCATCCCACCATTCGGTTTAGGTTTACAGAGAGCTTCCCACCCCTTCTATCGGATACCCCTACTTGTCTCTCCATCACAGTTCCACCAATAGGCATTCATAGCTCTCTCAATCTCACGGCCTAACTCCAAAGGGATTAGAAACACACTCATAGCATAAGTAGGGATTGCTTGGATCACATTTTATAGAAGAATTTCTCTCCTAGCCCGAGAAAGGAACCTGTTAGTCCAACCATTAATTCTTCCCACCACCCTTTCTTTGAGGAAGCCTAGAATTTCACGTTTATTTCTCCCAATAAGAGAGGGGAGGCCCAAATAGTTACCACTTAGAGTTCCCTCACTCATATTCAGAATACTACAAACAACCCTTTTAGACTCAACATCAACATTTGAACTAAAAGAAAGGGAAGATTTTGCATAATTCACAGCTTGACCCGAGGCCTCCACAAAAGAATCAATAATTCCTTTTATAGTAGTAGTCTCCGGGGAACTTGCTTTACAGAATATGTAACAGTCATCAGCGAAAAATAAATTCGTGATAACAGGAGCCCCCCTTGCTATGGACACCCCATGAACAACCCCTTCCCTGACTTTACTCTGGATCATTAGGTGGAAAACTTCAAGAATAAAGATGAACAGATAGGGAGAAATAAGGTCCCCCCTGTCTAAGACCTCTACTCGGGGAAACGGAACCAATGTCTCTACCACTTAGGAGAATAGAGTAGTTAACCGTAGTAATCATTTCCCAAATCAGATTTATGAATTGATCAGCAAAGCCCAGTCTGAGTAGAATACCCTTAAGAAAACCCCAATTCACACAATCATAAGCTTTACTAAGATCCAGCTTAATACCCACAAAACCATTTCTGCCTTGCCATTTCCTTTTAAGATAGTGATTAATCTCATATGCAACCATAACATTATCAGTTATTAGTCTACCCGGAATAAACGCAGTTTGAGACTCAGAGATAATTTGGGGAAGCAGAGGCTTAATCCTGTTCGCAACGATCTTAGAGACTAGCTTATAGAGGATGTTACATAAGGCAATAGGTCTTAGATCCCCTAATAATTCCGGTTTTGACTTTTTAGGAACAAGAACAATATGAGTGGAATTGATTCCATTTGGTAGAGAACCGGATTGAACACAATGGGAACAGAAACGAAGCAAATCGGGGTTTAAGATGTCCCAAAAGTGTTGAAAAAAGGCAGGGCTTAGACCATCAGGGCCCGGAGATTTCCCAGGTTTAATATAAAAAAGAGCCGATTTAACCTCCTCTAAACTAACCCTCTTACACAACAACTTATTCTGGACCTCAGAGATTTTTGGTTGAATACAGTCATACAAGGACTCAAAATCCCCCCCCCCCCCCCCCCCCCCAGAAGCTGTAAATATAGAATCAAAGTAGGAGGTAATAAGAGAGTCAAGCCTTGTACCTTTATCCACCCATGCATCGTTTTCATCCCTTAACCTGGAGATAGAGTTGTTCTGCCTTCTTCTTCTTACAGTGTTATGGAAATAAGTGGAATTGGAATCTCCCTCTCTTAGCCAAAACTGTTTGGCTCTTTGACGCCAATATTCACTCTGATGTTGCAGAACTCGCAGATATTCAAATTGGGCTGCTTTAAACATGAGTAATCCATGCTGGTCCCTCCGGTGCTTGAGATTCTCCATTCTAGACCTCCAGTAAACAATCCGCTTGTTAAAGTCAGTAGCAAAACCTTTGCCCCAATCCCAAATAGCTTTACCACAACTTCCAATTCGGTCAATAAAATCCTAACCTTGGTATCTAGACCAACTCTCTACCATGACATCCCTGCAAATTGATTCTCTTAACCAGAGGTTATCAAAACGGAATCTTTTCCTTACACAGAATTTCTCCTCCGGAAAGATTTGAAGATGGATGGGGATATGATCGCTACTTGGGACAGAGATTGACGATGCCCTAGCCTGGGGAAAAGAGTCTCTCCAAAGATCCGAAGTTAAAATCCGATCGAGTTTGGCTTCAATCCAAATTGGTGTACCCTTAGACTTCTCCCAGGTAAATTGATAGCCACTGAAGGGAAAATCACTCAGGTCACTCGATTCCACCGCCTCCTTGAAACCTTCGATCAGATGACGAGGTTGTGGGTTTCCTCCGCGCTTCTCATCTGGACTGAGGATATCATTAAAATCACCCATAATTGCCCAAGGAAGGGAGTTGATGGTTGAGAGCTGCTTTAGGAGATTCCAGGAATCCGATCGACTCTGTCTCTTCGAAGTGCCATAAAAACCGGTAAAACGCCATCGAAAATCACCTTGACTGAGACACACTTCAGCGTCAATGTGTTGAGGGGAATAAGATTTTATGTCGAATTCAGTGCCGTTTTTCCATAAAATAGCGAGACTGCCTTTACGATCCACACAATCCACAGAGAATAGACCAGAATAGCCCAGTTTAAGTTTAATGGGCTGGGGCTTCCTTAGACAACAAAAAGTTTCAATAAGAAAAATAATATTGGGTTTCTTGATGTGAACTAGGTCCACAAGAACCTGAACTGTCGATGGGTTCCCAAGCCCACGACAATTCCATGATAAGAGACTCATTGTTCTGGGCAGGCCTGATCCGCAGGTCCCGCCCTTGGTCCGTTTTTTTCGTTACAAGACTAGAGAAATCCATAGGTTGGGGATTGGGCCTTATAGATGGGCGTTCCAATTCAACCCTACGTCTCTTCTGATCCAACAACCCAAGCCCGTCTTCATCCATGATACTACCAGATAAATTCATAGCCACCTCAGCAGTTGATGTTGTCTTATCTGAGAGCACATCCGAAAAACCTTTGGACACGTGTTGGTCGCTGCAACTCATCGTACCTCTGCCATCACCACAACCAG